CCCAGTTTAGGGCCCATTCCCTGCCTCCTTTTACCCTGCATTTAATCACCAGATGCTCTGTCCCCTCCAGTATTTCTGCCTCACCTTAGTGGCTTCAGAGAACTTACTTCCTTCCAGGTTTGTAATAAAATCAGAACACTTACATTATGTTTGTAAAAGCACTTTTCAGTAAGATAGGAAAGGCTTGAGGCTCTTTCTTGTAGGAATACTGATTTGTTTCTGGGTGCAGGAAATGCAAAATGAGCCATCTTCCCAAATGATTCCTTTCATCTCACTCAACAAAGAAAGTGAAACACAAAGTGGCAAATGTGCTTTGGCTTCCCCACAGTGCAGTATCAGGTATGGTAATTACTCTGCCATTAACATTGGGAATAGTTAATGTGTATTAATGTGTTAATGGCATGTTAATTACTGTACATGTTAGAGCGAGCCCGCAGGCATTCTCTCAGATTCTTTGTGCCATGTGGATGTAGGCCAAGCTTAAAAAAGCCTTTAAGAACGTCGATGAAAGAGGATCTTTATGTTTCATTTGTCAGAACAAAAGATTTTCAATGGTAATTTGATCCAGCTCCCCGCTTCTGGAGCTGAAAGTCACTGATCCAGGCGCCACGACAAAGGAGATGATATGAAGTCAAAGGAGACGTGGAACACGGCAGTAGTGAGACTGGCCTCTTTGTGAAATGGATACTCTAAGCCCTCTGTAGTCTCTAGTGTGTTGCTTTGGCAGCAGGTTTTAATAACACGGTGGATTAGAAGCCTTGGATCCTGAGTGCCAAGCCAGAGTTAAAGCTCACCTTGGACGATCCTCAGTTACAGGCTAGATGCCACGGTCCTCCTCCTCCTCCTCCTCCTCCTCCTCCTCTGTGCCGGCTTTCTGCTCACACCGTCTACTTCACGGCTTTAAGAGAGATGACCTTTGCAAATATTGACAGAAAATAAATTCTGTTTCGATTGGTTAGCTTTGGGAGACCTTTGCGGATCAATGCAATTAGATGAACAGAGTGTCGATATGTGGCCGGAGCTGTGCACAGGAGGAACCGGACAGGGTTACTTGTAATGAACAGGATGTTTTGGAAACAATGGTGGAAGTAACAGAGACATAGTGTAATTTTTGTCAAACACAGTTAAACACACAATTTACCACAATACACATGCTGCAAGAAGCAACCTTTAAGCACCTCACAAAAGCATTGAGAAATTGCAACAACGAAAAAGATATCTCTGGATTTAGCTGCAGAAAAAGCGCTGCTCTTCCAGTGCATTGTCTGGCATCTGACAGTGCATTCAGTGCAGCAGAATGAGGTGTAGAAGCCCAGAGCCAGCCCTTCCCTCTTCAGCAGGCCACATTAACCCAGCAGGGCTCTGCCTTTATGGCTCTCCTGCTCACACTTCAGTGATGAGAGTAAACAAGCAGCGGGCCAAAGGTCAGCTAAACCCACAGAATAAAAGAGGGCACAGGGGGGGGAAAGAGGTGGGAGGAAAGGAGAGCGGCCCGAGGCAGTGCTCAGATCACTGTCAGGTCTTCAAGCAGGGAATGATGTACGAGACAACAGCCCAGAACCGGAAATGATTATAAACAGAGAACAGGGCAGAGTATATGAGAGAAAAGGGCTGCATTGTCTTTATCTGTCAAATTTGTTACTTCCTCGGATCTGATACGGATGGTGAAACCTGTAAAAAATGAAAAGAAGAACCACCACTGACTGATAGGGATGGATTAATCACAGTGTCTCCTTTTGTCTCAGCCACAGAGGAGAAATGAGGAACAATCATATAGGCAAGTGCTTTTTCCCCAGCTACTCCACCTGTATTGTTGAATGACAAATGAGGCAGATTAAGGACATGTTACATTATTATAACAATTTCTGGATTTTTTTGCCCTTTCTTTTACATCATTAAATTCGTTCTGGTAATTAAGTGAGCCGGCATCATTAGAGTTATGTGAAATAACCAGACCATATATAGATTTTTCATTCTTAAGTTCCAATTGCTTGCAGGCTTTACCAAGGTGACACGACTCTCGCACTTTCCCTTTGCACCGAGATTAATCCCACTTTGACTGTGGAGGTGGATTAAAGCTAAACTCGGGTGCCCAAACTTGTTTTAATACCCATATCATCAGACAAAAACAGGATAAAGATTTGAGCAGGCAAGCGGCATGGCAGTGCTAGAATGTGACTGTGGCTTTGCAAGTTACTATACAGATTTGTCAACCACACAGCAAATTAAAGATATTATCTCGCTCAAGCCTATTTTGTGGAAGTCGTGTGATGATGCCAAGCTTAGACATTGAATCCCCAATCTTCAGCTGCACCAACAAAGGCTCACAGCGAGATACGCTGCACCTGTTTTTAAAATTGTTTATTTTTTCCGTAGGCTATGTGTTCTTATTTTTCTAATTTTAAGTGTTTGTGTGCTTAAGTCAGACACGCCATCCCTCCCATCATGTGTGTTATGAATGGCCAGCCGCAGCCGCTGTGGCACAAATACACCCTGGTGGACTCCTGCAGGGCCGTCAGCTTCTCAGGGCAGCACAGTAATCATTTTTATCCTGCTGATTTCCCAAATAGAAATGGACATGTATGATAAAAATGTCACGGCCACTCCGCATGTCAGCGGACTAACAGGATTACATGTCACTTTCTAATGTCTCGCTCTGTTTTCCTTTGCCGTGAATGGCCACATTATTGCACACAGGAACTTTGAGGTAATATATGGTAAGAGACTAGTACCTCTTTATGGCCTGTGATTATTTAGTTTGAATGAAACCGGTGATTTATGCCCATTTAGCTGAAAAGCCCTGTAAATTCCCTCAGCTGCATTTCCCCTGGATATAGACTGAGTGGAGTGAAAGTGACAACTGGGTTTGGTGTGGAAATGTACGCTGCGTCCCAGAGTTATATTTAATATACCTGACATGAAAAACATGCCTACCTACTTACCACCACCCGCAGCACAAAGGAAAGTGCAGCCTGCTGAGCTTCAGTTGAATCAGAGAGTGGGAGTAAATACTGAATTAGGAAAATATGAACTGTGGTGGCAGACAATCCACCAGCTATTAGAGCCGACTTGAGATATGTAGCCAGGCATCTGGTCAGTCAACATTTGAATCATGTGCCATTTGGTTTTCCTGCTGCACAAACTGGAATAGAAACAGTCGAGCCTGTCCAGAACGAGAGCTTTGGGTGGAGTAGCGCAGATGCAGTGTGATGTGGATGAGGGTTAGTGGAGCAGCGGCATATTGTCCACATGGATGGCTTGGCTCTGCAAGCCTGATGGAGCCTTGTCCAGAATCTCAATGTCTCCAACACAAATAGCCACATTCATCCACTCCTCTCACACCATTACACCGAAAAGACTCTAAGCCAGCCGATCCATAAATAGAGGCACATTTGTTTTTCTGTGGCACTGCAGTCGAATGAACACCAACACATCTGACGAGTGGCTACAATATGATGTGTTTCCTAATTAGGTTTTATTCAGGAATTTGTTTATAATAATGACAGAAAAAAGAAAAAGGATTTTTCTCTCTCTAGTATTTCCTCCTGCAGATGGTTTACAGGGTCAGTCGGTCAAAGCGTGGTAAAAGGGCTCCTCTGATTGCATGCCTACTGGCTGACACAATAGAGCCACTAATCTTCTTATTTAGAATCCAATGGCTGGCCATATCTTAATGAAGCTGTAATGAGCTGTTGAAAATCCCTGAATTGCGGGAGGGATTATTGAATTGAAACAACTCTGGTAATCATAACGTTTCGAGTAGCCACTCAGTATTTACTGCCCATTGAGCCACATTTCTATCCACTTATTAGAGTGGATTGCTCGAGCTTGTTTTTGTTAATTCTGACCCGCAGTGCTCTTTTGTTTGTTTATTCTCTGTAAAGCCTGGCTTTGCGGTTGCGTTGCCAGTGCTTCGAGGTGTGCATGTATGCTATCTACTGGGTGATTACGACTGGCTGACAGACCGGCATACAGAACACCAGAGGAAATGAACAGCAGGGTCTGAGAGAGGGAGCAGCATTCATGAATGAGCAGTTAACACAAAATTGAGTCCGCACTCATGTTGCTGTAAGATGTTTACTTCAGCTGCACATTCATATTACTCCTTAAAATATGGCAAAATCTGGATTGCAAAAATAATACAAATTCAAACCTTATAAGCGTATAGAAATAAGGTTCCTTTTTGACTTCCCAGCATTCACTGTGTCAAAGACAGAGACACTCACTAGAGGTATAGTTTCTGTTTAGCATCCTTTCGCAGAGCAGAAGTGCCACTTCACCATTGAGCATTTGTCAGTTTATGGATGTTGCTGTCATGTCAGCCTTCCCGTACACACAGTGTGCAGCACAGTGTGTAAATAAAAGAGAACAGGCAAAGACATGGGCGACAGGAATACAGCACATACACAGGAGGCACCAGTTCATACCTGCAGGGGAAACATCCACGATAACAGACTGCGCGACTACTACACTCCTAATTACGCTTAACAGTTTGACCCTATTAAATTGTTTCAATAGGAATATTTGTTTCTGTGAGAAAAATATCACTCGTCACCGGCTTGAGCTTCAATATCAGGATACATGTATGAAATGTATGAATGAAAGTAGTCATCACAGACAGAGCATATGGTACAACAAGTTCCCCGAACAGTGTCCTTCACATGCTTATATACAAGAGAGGGTTTTACACAGTCACAAGATGCAGAATACCGGTTCAAAGCCATATACAATGTTTAGTTTCCATTAACTAAGACCCACGTCAGAAATGATCATGCTTGTCACATAGAGGCTGAATCATCATCGTTGTCACATAGCTATGTGCCTAAAACAGTGTGTCCTGATGGTCTTCCAGGTAATCATACATCCTGTTGCGTACACAGCTACAGTTGGGCCTTTGTTATCGTGTGCTACTCTGATATTGAAAAAGTACATTCAGTATTTTCCCAACGGTTTCATTTTTGCAAATCTCATTGTCCCTGAATTGCAGTAGTTGACCTTCTGTCTCTGTTCTGTGTGTTGCTACAGGTCTCAGCATCCGTGGTTCCCAGGAGGAAGACCCCCCGGATCCCCAGCTCATGCGTTTAGACAACATGCTGCTGGCAGAGGGCGTGGCGGGACCAGAGAAAGGCGGCGGATCGGCAGCCTCCGCCGCTGCAGCAGCAGCCGCCGGGGGGGCCGCCGACAGCTCCATCGAACATTCCGACTACAGAGCCAAACTCACCCAGATCCGACAGATCTACCACACGGAGCTGGAGAAATACGAACAGGTGAGGAGGAGATGCAACTCTAAGGTTAAAATCTTACCCATGATTTAGTTTTTTCCTTGAATACCAAACTGCTTCTTGCACTATTCCCAAGAATATGGAGAATAACAATGTTGTTCCTTTTTCGTCAATAAAAGGTCAAATAACTATGTTCTCAGCTAGACGTGTCATTTTCTGTTCAAATGGACCGATTGAGTTGTACTTTATGCTTCACATCCCTTCAGAGCAGCGTATTCCTGGCATTAGCAGGAACATTGCAGACAATATTCACGATGGGGTTCAATATGTTATCTGCATAGAAAAAAATGTCAGTATTATTCACTGTGTTGTAGCTGATTATAGAGATCCAAAGGAGAGCTTGAGTCATCTGTGTTAAATGAAAGTATGATCAGCTCCTTCACCTAGCACTTTGAGCCTGCCATTAAACACAAGCATTATGGAGGGGGGGGGGGGGGGGGGGGGGTTGAAGGTGTAACAGTGATGCCTCAGCAAGCCAGTGAGGTAAATTAGACTAATTTACTCCGTGCTCTCTGAGAGAGGAGGTGGGTACGTGGGGGCACACTACACGTCGCCTGGAGTAAATGCATCTTTCTTAAGGGTGTTTCCAGGTTTTAATTATCTAAATGTAAATACTTAACGAATTTTACTCAGAGTAATGAGCTAAAGTGTGCACTACGTAAATGAGTTATTCTAATTAATCATGTATGAACTACTGGTTTAACGAAAAGCTGTTTAAATTCGCATTGCATTAGGGCCAAGCCGAATTGCAAATCTGCATTTATGTTCAAAGATGACTTCACCTATTATGTCATCAAAGTCAAACATAAACAGTGCACTCTGTTGATGCTTTGAACAAAAAACAGCTTGTGTGAAATATATCTCTAAATGAAAAATGTACAGAACTTTAGAATATCAGTTAAAGAGCTTTTATAAGTTAACTTCTGGGACGTTTAGAGAACTCACGTTGGCTGCACTTTGTGTCTCTCTGTCACTTGGCAGGCGTGTAACGAATTTACTACCCATGTGATGAACCTGCTGAGGGAACAGTCTCGCACGCGGCCCATCTCTCCCAAAGAGATTGAGCGCATGGTGGGAATCATCCACCGTAAATTCAGCTCCATCCAGATGCAGCTGAAGCAGAGCACCTGTGAGGCTGTCATGATCCTGCGCTCCAGATTCCTTGATGCCAGGTCAGTGGATTGTGTAGTGTATAAATATATCTATATGTGTGTGTGTCTAGAAACTTGTATTGCATTTGTACGACCCAAATAGGCAAATCCAGTGGGCGAGGTCACTTTTTGGCTGTGTGCAGGTCGGAAGTTTGCTTTTCTTCCCTCTTTTCTGGCACAGCACACAGTATGAGCACTGCAAAGATGCATGATTTTAATTATGTCCATGTTCCATGTATTATCCATTTTCAAGACAATCATGGCCCAACACCTGAGAACAGTTAAGCCCAAATGAAATGGGGGGCGAGTCATGTGTAATGGATGGAGGGGAGGTCATCAGCAGGTGTTGAGGATTACTCTAATCACTAACAGTGTGGTGCATTGTGGGTGCTCTGCGAGGAGCGGCACAAGTCCTGGCTAAACAAGCCAAGTGGAAGCACATTTCGCTTGCCCACTGCCTGTGTGAAGCGCAGTAAACAAGGCAAAATAAGCAAATGCTCAACAACATGATAAGTAGTGCCCTTGGGAGGGAAGGGGACCCAGATCTAGTTAGAGTTTTCTTGTTTCTACTGGAGATCCCCGGGGCTGTGGCACTTCAGGAACAATGCTCAACTGTGCATGCCGTGATTTCTATAATGTACCGAGATGCACTCCGACTGGGCTTTGCGCTCCATCACAAAGCCCACCCATCCGCTGCACTAAACTCTACACATTACACGCTTGGACTGGAGATTGGAGACCAACAGACCAAATTAAACATTGTATGTGTTTTGTGACTGTGTGTGTGTGTTTGTTTGTGTGTGCGTGCACTTGTCAATTTATTGGTTGGAGTCTGTTCTTCTGTGTGTTTACGAGACTCTTGGAGCAGGACACAATATTCTGCTCCTGAGGGCCCTTAGAGCCCATTCCTCATTATTTTCACCATTTATGTGTGAGATTGATTGTGCAATTTGTGCGATCCAAATGGATGAGTTAATGCTGGTCCGCTAATAGGCTTCCTTGGCCTTTCTCTGTTTCTGCTCCCCACTCAGGCGGAAAAGGCGAAACTTCAGCAAACAGGCGACGGAAATTTTGAACGAATATTTCTACTCGCACCTCAGCAACCCGTACCCGAGCGAGGAGGCTAAAGAGGAGCTGGCCAAGAAGTGCAGCATCACAGTTTCCCAGGTGGGTAGTTCTCATCTAACAGTAGCTGCTGGGTAATCAGGGTGGGAAAGGCTAGAGCCTAGAGGGATAGTTACCGTAGGTCACACCACCAAGACACATTGTCCTTAGCTAACCTTGACATTGTGGCTTCCTAATGATGCTTCAGTCAAGGCTGGTCCCAGTCAGTCAGAGCTGGGCCACAGGGAGGGGAGGCCTATATCATCTTGGCCTCAATCAAAGCACTATGCTGTCCTTCCTTACGCTGGGTCCCCTGCCATTTTCCCCTCTCATTCCCATCCACCATGTGTGCTCTATCTGTTGCCTGGTCAGCCGCTCAGGTCATAAGCCAGGAAAAAGAAATGGCACCATCCATTACTTTAAGAAAAGTCTGGTGCTTCAAAAAACTGGATGATCCAGGCTATTTATTTGTATGTTTGTGACCTTGCAGGACTCTGCTAATTCACAGCTATATTTAAGTTATAATTGGGTAAACCTGAAGGCAATATCTCTCACACCTCCCCCCCCTCACATCTAGAGTATTATTATCCTGTGCTCTCTTTTTCTGCCATGATTGTGACTACTATCTAGATTTTTTTATACTCTACTGTTCTATGTCGTCCTCTTGAGACACATCACAGAAACATGAATCTATACAATAATCTGCAGTGTTTTTTCTGTGTTGGGAGGGGGTGTTTATTGAGTGTAGTCATGAAGAGTCAGATACTGTAAAAGCCCATTCTTTTTTGCCTTCAGGGGGTGGGAAGCACCATCACAGTATCACAGGTATGTCATAACTTCTCCTGATCCACTGTTTTCATTTTTTTTACTTCCTTTGTTTCTGTATGTAATAGCCTCACAGTTTTCCACTGCACAGAACCTCCCTCCCTCACCCTACTGGATCATGCTAATGTTATCATGAATTACAGTAATTCAAGTGTAAATATACATTTCTTTAAAAGAGTGGTTATTCAGCATTTACATCCCACCACAAGAACACAGACTATTTTTGATTGAACCATATTTTTTAAGCTACACCCATGTTATCACCATATTATGTGTGTACAAATGTCTCACATGAAATTGTACTTTTTGGCTATTGTTTACCACATGGTTTATTTATTTTGTTTGTTGTAGAGAGTCGATTAATTGTGTGGTCTTTTGTATTTTCAAACTGCGCTCTGAGGTTATTTACCCCCAGCCTGCTACGTGATTGCTGTGTGCTTTATAGCAGTTAAAGAAATGGCCACCGACCCTCACAAATGGAGCTCCACTCTGTTTCCTGAGTGCCTCGCGAAAAACATGCCACCGTTCCAGTTCCCATGAGAACAAATCAGTCTATGCAGAAATTAGAGGGCTTTTAAAAATTCACTTGAACTCATCTCAGGCCCCATTAGCGGCATACTCCTCGACCGGTGGAGGCCACGGCAGAGCTTCTTATTGACTTATTCTTAGTGCTTTGGCTCATTTTAAGTGAGTAACAAAGTCGGAGGCTCGACATGATGCCGAGTGTGCCGTAAGTGTGTTATCCCTCAACGTGCCCCGGCCTTTCAGGGGGCGAAAACTGCTCGCTGTGGCCACTCTGAGGGCACTGCTAAGTAATTTTTCAAACACCCACAAAATCCTTTTTTTTTTTGTAGGCTTTGTTTATTGCACAAGCAGTTCATTATCCTTCCTTAATGGTATGCCAATATTAGTCCGCAGCTATGCTCGATACATCATCGCTGACGAAACACCCCGCATCATTTCAGCAGGGATCATTTAAAATGCAAGTGTTGCATGTTTCCTGAGAGCAAAGCCTCTTTACCTCAGGAGATCCCCACAGTTTAAATCCAGTGTTTAAAATGTATCAAAGAGGCTGCGGGAATAACTTTAAATTGAAAAAAAGAAATGTCAACGAGTCTGATTTGATTAATCCTGAACACTGAATGTACAATGAGCTATTGACATTGTCACGATTGCCCAAGTCGCTCTTTAAATGCCGGATGCAGTCTTATTCCCTCTGTCACCCTGCATGCGCTGTGCTGGGCTCCTGAATAAAGGCATCTGATTGGATGGCTGTGGTTCGTGTCAGGGTCTATTGAGGTCATATTTGATATAATGTGCGGGAATGGTTCAACATTTAAGTCAGTTTCCTGTGCAGAGACTCATTGCTCACATTTTTCTTCTGAGTGACACTTTTCAATATTTCAAATCACAGTGAATTTAAAGAAGCTAAGACTTGAGCTCCTATCCATTATTAATGTGGGCTGTATAATTGATGGTATCACAGCTAGTGAGAACACCTTTGTATTTGTATGTGAGGCTTAGGGCTTTGTAATCTCAGATATATTGAGATCACGGACACATCATGCGTTGCCTTACATTCACTAGAAAGCAGTATTGACCTGAAATAGGGGGAAATACTTTGAATTATTAACCACAGCTCCACGGCCTCTCTAGTGGGCAGCAATGAAGGCAATGGTATCGTGTTCTTGCAAGGAGTCTGCATGGTCATTATACAATCGCTGCCTTTGAGGCTGCTGATGTCAGGTAATTCAATCTCACAACCTGGCTCTCACCACACATAGGAGTCAATTGAATGCATGGCCTGCCACAAGATAAAAGGGAATTAGTTCTGTAGATTGGGTTGTGCTCCACACCTTACAGTGCCGTGCATTTGTTCAATATTTAGCTGAACCCGAGAATCACTAAAGCCAGAGTTCAGTGGGCAGGAGAGAAATGTGCGTGTAGAGCAGAGAAAGGTGGTGTAATGTCCGCAGGTTTTTATTCCAACACTGCTGAGCCTGTCCGGGCTTGTAACACCATATAGTGGTGGAACACAGTCATAACACACTATATCATAAAAGACAGATTGAAGTAATCAAAGTTTATGTTTCAACTGTTCCTACCTTATGAAATGACCACAGTTTAATAATAAAAGGGTAGAATTAGCATGCATCACTGCTGTATTTGATACAAAAAAAGCAAACCAAAGTCTATCCACCACTTTCAATGTTCAGACTTAATGATACAGATATGTCTTCTTGTGCAAACACCCCAAATGACATTTTAATAAATGTAGTTCTGTGTAATACACTGTTTGCATGAACATTTGGGGAAATTAAACAGACTGATGAGCTTTGGAAAACATTGTCTATGATTTCGAGGGGTTTGTGGGCACTTTGTGAGCTGTCTAAAAGAGCGAGGGTATTGCATCGTCTTCGGCTCTACAATCCACTATAAGCAGGTTAAGTAAAAAGGATGATAGCCAGGGCTTTCATTGCTTCCAATTAAACCTTGCTTGTTAGTTTAACCTCTAGGTAAACCCATCAAACAATTGATGTCAAGGAAACCCTGCCAACAGTGGGCCTCGCCTGAATGGTCATTAATTTTAATTGCCTAGATATTAAAGATTTAGAGCACAGAGACGTGCAGGATAGAAATGATCTGATGTCCTGCAAATCCAGTCAGTTTTAACGCCACAGCATTGGCGGGCTGCTGGGGATATTAAAATGTAAGCGCATGGGTGGAAATTAAATAAAGCGTCATTAGGGGCAGCTGCTCTTTGGCTGGTCCAGCCGTGGGCTGCAGGCCCTGAGAGGGGGGCAGCAGCACAGCGACAAGACACTCTAATTTATAGAACCATTAAAAACACGCATCATCTCATTATTATTCCACTGTTATTGCAGAGCCAGCGTTCACACATAAGGTTCACCCCTCGTACAACTTTTCAGCGTCTGACTGATGTTGGGTTTCATCAAAATTAGCATTCCCAACTTCTCTTAATGTAAATACAGTATACCTCAATACTCAATTATTGCTTGCTCCTTTAGAGTTGCTTTTTAATTTTGGTAAAATAATTATTTATATTTATTTAACACGAGTTAAAAAAACGGATCATTTGTGTTTTCTGCTTCACGTGGCTACACTTTTTTTTGATAACCACAAACAAATGTAATTTAGCATGCAGACACACACACACACACACACACACACACACACACACACACACACACACACACACACACACACACACACACACACACACACACACACACAAAAACACAAGTTGGAAATGCTGCCGTATAATGCCATATAATATGAGATCAAATAAATGAACTATATTTAACTGTATTTACATAATGTGTCAATCACCTAAACACTGATCTGGAGTCAGTGAGCATCCTTAAGAGGGTGAAATATGAACATTTTACATTTCACTACGGGAAAGGCTAGGATTTGTGTCATATAAGCACTCATATGATAAATGTATATAATATATTGACTTAAGTGTCTGTGCAAAAGGAGCCCCTTGTGTTTTAGTTTTGTCAGGAGACAGAACCGAGAGCATGTCAGGCTCCCATCCATGAGAAGACACAAGTGGCTCCTGATTATGGCTTAATTAGCTTGTGTACCCGGCGGACATTACTGCAGGGGCTGGGAATTGGGTACTTGATGGACCCAAACATGACATCTTGAAACAATCACACTGCTCAGTGCACGGTGCTGTGGCTGCTTGACGTCTGACTCCTCTGCTCCTCCTCCTTCTGCTCTACCACACAGGTATCCAACTGGTTTGGCAACAAAAGGATCCGGTACAAGAAAAATATCGGCAAGTTTCAGGAAGAAGCCAACCTGTATGCTGCCAAGACTGCTGTAAATGCAGCACACGCTGTAGCCGCTGCAGTGCAGAACAGCCAGGCCAACTCCCCCACCACACCTAACTCCGGTAGGCACTCCTGCATATAGACAAACAATAAAAAGATCTGCCCTCCACCTCAGCCCTTAACCCACTGCCTACCTGCATCACTCTCTCATGCACCATTCACACAGCCAAGAGTGACAGGCTCTGCTCCCAGCTTGGGGATCACAGTGTCTCCTGTCTATAAGACAGTTGATGCCAAGCAAACTCATGCATAAAGAGAGCGTTCCTGACTTGTGAACCGAGAACACATGTATTTTTGGCAAAATAAAAATAAATTGAAAATGAGAAATTCAGAAGGATGCCAGTGGGATTTGTTTTCCCTTGACTTTCTGTCAAATTCCTGTCATTTGTAATGTAATGGCATGTAGTCCCAGTGACTGGCAGTACTTTTTATGCTAAATAAAATGACACATAATTGCTGGGAGCATTTTACCTAGAGTCATACTATAATATCAAAATGGCATTTTACACAGTTCATATTGAATTAGAGTCATATAGAAACACAAAGCCTTAGAGGAGGGTGTGTTTAGTCCAGTTTAATAAGAAATGTAAATCTGAGTTTGGACTAGGTTGAGCTGCTTCGAGATGTGGTAAGCTTATGAAGTGGTCCCTTTTTCTTGCACCCAGGATTCCAGATGAAAGATGAAGAGTTTCAGCTGGATTCTGCAGAGAGCAAAAACACTCTTTTAACCAACATGTTTACTGGTACTGGTCTTTTCATAAGCTTCTTATTGTCCTTGTCATTTACCATGTGATACCTCCCTGCCAACATTAGATTGAAAGTAGGTGATGTGGAACAATTGGGAGCTTAGGCAACCAACCACATATAGAAATGGCCTCCTCCCCTCTTTGTCGTGTGATTTTCATTTCATTTGTGTCTACTGCATTTGTAAAAAGATGTCCTCGGTCCCTCTGCATATCGTCCTCTTCTGTTTGTTTCTTTGCTGCCCTCCCTTTCCCTTCTTCATTCTTGTAGTTGCCTGCTTTATGGGAGTCTTTCTTCAGTGCATTTGTCTGCTTGATTTGGGTCTGTGTATGCAGACACGTGCGTGGTGTGTGTGTGCGTGTTTGTGCTTTCCCTTTATAGCCTTCTCATGTATTCAGCTACTTACATCCTCCCTTTCCAGGTTCTTCAGGTTCTTTTAACCTCCCAAACTCTGGGGACATGTTCTTGAGCATGCAGAGTCTGAATGGGGATTCTTACCAAGGGGCACAAGTCGGAGCCAATGTACAGTCACAGGTAGGATCAACAATCAGGGACAGTTCCTGACTGCCAGAGAGCTGTCCTTGTCTTGCCTGTGTACTGAGCCATCCACAGTGCAGTCTGAAGCACGTTGAAACAAAAATTGAAAATAAGAAAAATGCTGCACATGTGACGGGCAGTTTAAATTACCACAGCGAGGACTACTAAAAAAATCCAATTGACTAAAGTGTTACTGGCTAATTTAGCTTTGGATGGAATATTTTGGCAGCCAAAATATAATCCCACCCCTCTGCTATCATGCTGCAAATCAATGTCCTGGTTACTTTTCCAATCTCACAAGAAAAACAGTTTGTGAATGCATTTGGCTTTGACTTGAACTCTTGGGTTGGTATTGGGTTTTTGGTACTCTCCTTTTTTCTGTGTCCTATATTGCTATCTTCCTGTCTCATCCTGTTGTTGTTTGTTGTTGATGTCTTCCATTTTGTACGTTTTACGCACAACTGACACACAATCATAATGCGCACACATATGCTAATTCACGATTAAAGTAAAAATAAAAGCTAATTCAAAACACATATATTTTATTTGTCTTTAAGGCTTTTTTTTATGATTCTATAGCCTCTATAGAAAACATACTGGATTTGAGCATGCTAGTAATGTCATTGTGCCTTTTTCGTTTCATTAGGAAATTAGCAGTGTCACAAATGTGCTGTCTCAGGACTCCCTCTGTGATTTCACACTAGTCAGTATCTGTTGCTTCACTGAGCATGTTTACAGTTAGTGATGACCCGCTTTGAGACTCTGCGTTGACCAGCTTGTCCACCTTGTCTGTCCCCTCAGGTGGATACCCTGCGCCATGTTATCAGTCAGACGGCAGGATACAATGATGCTCTCGGGAGGAACACCATGTATAGTCCACACGGCTTACATGTGAGTATGGCTTTTATTCATATAGGTTGCACAGGTTTTATGTTAATCATATTTCACTAAGGTACGGTATGCATTACATTCAGATACAAAGAGACATAACCTTTGTCACCTGACACAGATACAAGTTGCATTTAATAATGCAAATGACACAGCAGGGGAATACATCATTTATTAAACATATTTTAATATGTTCTATGAATCGAACCAAAACATACTGAGCCATCCACAATTGATTGAAAAATAAAAAAGGCTTTTGCATTTATCTGTTTGGAAATGCTTCACAGTAATTTCCATAGCCTTATCTTCATGATAAAATATGAGCATGTGATCGCCCGCAGCCCTTTCCAGACACGGATTCCATCTTCCTTGATGAGGTTTGATATGGCTCCTTTTTGTATAGCAGTGCACAATCTGAGGCTATCAGAGTAAAGATTAATTTCGTTGATGAGGGAGAAAGAAGAGAGAGAAATAGTATCAGACATCTCTCTCTCTCTCTCTCTCTGCACTATATCAGATCTGTATTTGCTCTCTTTATATTGTTATGCCTGTTGGGTGAAGTGCACGCATATTCACATTCTAATATTATTTAAATCGTAGGCATCAAAAATAAGGTATTAGATGTACAGCAGTGATGCTGGACATTTTAAAGATATGTTTATTTATCAACTCATTTTATGTAAACAAATGGTGGGGGCTGTTGCCAGGATTCAATGCTTTTGGTGTCATTTCGGCTTTGCTAAAGCTTTATTGCTATAAGCTGTTTAGACATGTCAACTCCTACCAGGATCAAGCGTTTTTCACTTTCTCACAAGGTTTCTCACTTCCATTACGCAGTGTAGACCTGAGCCTACTGGCTCACTAGAGCTCAGCATGATCCCTACTAAAACTGCAACTGACGGCACAGAGAAACCCTGAAAGAAGAGGATGAAAAAACATAAAGTAATATGATATTTTAAATAAGTGAAATTGTGGAAAAGCTCCTTTTTTGCAGCAAACCCTAAAGTTCCACATAGATTTATTAGCATAGACTAACCTTTAGCTTTCTTGGTGGTGACGTAGAAGGATCCAGTAAAGGCTAGGTCATGCCTGGAGCAAAGCAAAGTCAGGCTGGCTAAGACTGGCTCTCTTGGAGAGGCCCTGCCCTGTCACTTTCACTCAGCTCCCCCCACCTCAAACCGGCCCGAGCCCTCCCTCTTCTTGACTGACAGGAGAATATGTAGCGACAAGCTGTCGTCCGCTCCCGAAATCTGCTTAGACACTGATTTCAGGGACTGCTCCCATTGGTCGGAACACGAGACACATTTGTTTCCAAGATGCTGATGCTACTGTAATGCACGGACTAATCACACCACATCGTTGTGAAGTGAACATGTTGATATCAGCTGACACAGTAGTGCAACCACACTCTCGGAAGTCTCATTTTCCCCGTGTTGTGTTTTTTTTTTTGCATTTTGGGGATGAAAATGTACCAAGCTCATATTGCAGAGAACGTGATTTTAATCTCAAGATTTCCCATTTGTATCCTAGGCTAATGGGGGGTGGCAAGATGCAAGGACTCCGTCTTCTGTAATATCTCCAACAGAAGGACCCAGAAGTGTGCACTCCGATACCTCGAATTGATACGCTTTTATTGCATCTTCGCCTCAAGCTGGGCATGGACTCTTTTCACTGGCTAGACCAACTGCAGAGGATTATACAAAAAACACTTTTCAAAACAGTTTGGTTTTTCCTGTACCTTAAAATGTCCCATGCCACATTCAAAATGACATCATCACCAAGTGTTTCCTGATCGTTCAGTGTTTTCTTTACGTCTCCATAAATCAGAAGTCATCACCATGCTCTTATTTGTTTGTCGTAGGGGTAAGCACACACATGTACACACAGAAAACAACCCTCAGATTACACTCTGTAAACCTTTAGGATAATTAGCTCCGCTCAACTTAAACTACTGGATGACAGTCGTGCATTTCATGTGACATTTTAAACGGCCATTTGTTTGTTTCTTGATTTAATTACCACTCCCATTTTGATAATTGGGTTCTCATTCAGTTCTTACAATACATAGATTAAAGCAGCTGTTTCTTTGACTGTAATGTGCTTGCAATCTTGTCCAGCAACTCAACAATGCTACTGTTGACAGCTCAATGGCAGCTTTGTTGTTACTTTCAAGATTTATTTTTGCCTTACAGCTGTATACATTAGTAGAAGGAAATGGTTATTCAAACTCGGGAACATAAAGAAGTGTAATTGATTGCTTGACTATAACATGACACCGTTCCATATTTTATAATTTGATGTTTAGTATGTACATATGTAAACATTTTTTTTGTACTCCTTATCAACATATCCCCCACAGTATATCATTCCTTCATGACACACAGACGCAGGCCCCCCTTACACAGGAAAAGTTGTACATAATATAGAATAAGAGTAATTATACATCCAACCAATCAATACACAGCTTTATTACCTCATTCAAATTCATAATAGGACAATAATTCCCAACATTTCTGTAGCTTAGAGTGCTCACTTACTACCTCTAAACAATACCACCACCATATATTATTTTTTCGCCCTTATTTAATGTTTTTGTAGTTATTTTTATGACATCCTGTAACACTGTAAACTCTTCATCCTCTATGTAATCTAATGTATATTTTAATCTTTTAATAAAATGCCGTTGCTGTACCGCAACTTAAAATAAAAAAAATAAAAAATGAAATGATAACATATTAATACGTTGAAAAAGAGATGGGGAGGGGAGGGGGGGCGGGTGAAGATGTTGCTCTGTGGCTTTTACGAGGGAGTGCGATGAACATTGTTGATAAATTAACACCGAACAGTGAAACTGTTGTAAATATTGAAGGAAAAAAAACATTTTGAATGTTGCTCATCTTGTTACTAAATCATGCGGAAAAAAAGAGGAACAAAATCACTATAAAAATGTAATGCATAGAGGTTTCAGTATTCAGAACTGTACATTTCCAGCTCTGTTCAACAGGGTTCAAAACTTCTTTTCTCTCTTTTTTCTATTGTATGTGATTCTGAAACTGAAAAAGTCATGACAAATGATTTGTGGCAGTGATTCTAATGTATTAAAGATGTTTAGTGTTACTTTCTAACCAGACTACACCCTGGACTGAAAAGTCTTCCTTGTGGTAGTTGTGTAATTTCAAACATGAATAAACCTTTTGCTTTCATGACAGCAAGTTGTGCTCTCTTTTGTTGAGTGAGCGGGAGAAGCCGTACACTTCTCTTAACGACTGTCAATTCACATAAGCCTCTATTTGTGCTAGTTCTTTTTATACATGTATGTATTCAGCAATATTATAATGCTTATTTACATGCAATTTATTTACTCATTTTTCAAATATAAATCTGCTCTAAATGTTCAAGTAATGTATTCATCCTTTGCATGCAATGGTTTTGAAGAATAGGAACCTGGTTTGCAGCTACTTCCGAGCTGACATGGTTAGCGCAATTAACTGAAATGTCAGGCACTTCTAATTCAGGCTATTTTGTGTAAAGACAGCCTTAAATGGATCATTGGTTATTTATTCTCATTTTCTCAGGGCCGAGTTCTTCTTTTCTGTCTTCCTTTAGTGCTTGTTGTCCAGTGTTTTATATATCAGTCATTATCACCCCTGAATCAAAGTGTTTTCGTACACTACTGCAAAAATAGAATATTCCTGCTCACAATGTGCAGCTAATTTATAACATGTTTGTGTGTGTGTGTGTGAGTGTGTGTGTGTGTGTGTGTGTGTGTGTGTGTGTGTGTGTGTGTGTGTGTGTGTGTGTGTGTGTGTGTGTGTGTGTGTGTGTGTGTGTGTGTGTGCACGTTTGAGTGTGTTTTGAGTTCAACATATGAGTGTAGATACCCAGGAAAAAGAGAAAGAGATGTAACAGCCTCGAATGAGTTTAATTCAAGCGCAGAGCACAGACGGTTTCCCAGGAGAGCACATTTGTCCACTCAACCAGTGCAGAACTTCATTGAACACCTTTCTCTGGAAATCATATCTTTATCCTGATATCACACACCCATGCCACACATGTCCAAATGCATCAAAGCAATTTAAAATAAAAGAGAAGTGCCTTTGAGGTAAATAAACAAAATAAACTTCATGGAAACTGCTTTGCATACCACTGTTTTTTTGTTACGGTTATTAAACATGATTGCATTCTGCTTGAGGGAGGTTTTGCAGAAGTTCACCGTTGTTTTTATTTAACATTTAGTGCCTCCATACAAGCTAGTTCACTACATTGTTATGCTGTTTAAATGCATGCATATTTCCTCTCACAGGAATTATGAAACCATTTGAAGTCCATACTGCTGTACCCTGCCATTTGAATTACGATCTATTTGCTCATTCTTCCTTTACAAATAGATACATTTACTTCCCCAAGACTTCAACTATTGAATTTTAAGTACAGCACTCAGCAAAATTGGCCCCAGAACCTTTTAAATAAAGAAGTTACATTTTCTGAGATTATGCCTATTAAAGATTTTTGTAAGGTTCATTAAAGACGACATTTTCTAAGTAAAATTCACCATGAAAAGCATGCATCATTAAATATGGAAATCCAGAATGATATTAGCAATATGCACATAGCTGCTGCCAATTAAATTAGAGAAAGATATCATTTATATTATTAAGGTGCAGTTCATATTAGATTATATTTAAAATGTAATTCTTTCACGGTTTGATTTATAGCTTGTAGCGCGTTGTTCACAGACCCATGTTATTCTGTATTTCTAAGGAGAGATTGTTTATATTCAAATGTAAAAAGCTGAAATTGCATCACTATCGCTTAATTAAATTGGTAGGAGGTTCAAACTGAAATTCATAAACTGGCACACATATTATTCATGTTTTAAATGTGACTCTTTATACACACACCGCTAACAACCTGGTTAGTTTATGCAACTAGGCTGGATTTATGGAATAATTAATAATTTCTGAAAAACTCAGAATAAAATAAGTAAGTCTGAGTAAAGTCAAAGACAATATACAATGTGTTGTAGCTTAGATCTTTGATCTTTGATTGCAAAATGTAAAGTATTTGAAAACACAAAAACAGATCATAGTTCATTATAAATGATATTCCAAAAAGAAGGTTATTGTGAAAGCTGATATACATTTGTTCAACCCTCTCTCTTTTCCTCCGTACCCAAATCTCTAAAAACGGGGGTACCGAGCTGATCCAGATTTGCGTCCGATATGACATCATATCGGCGGCGGACCCACGGCACTATCAGAAAGTTGCTATCAGAAACAATGCCCGACTGTTTTGGACGTAATATGGTCGGTGTTTACATTAGCATCGCTAACACTCAGAGCTAACCTGTACTGGAGAGCATGTGTGTGAAGAAGCAGGAAATAAAAAGGAACTCACTTTGTGGTATAACCGGCAACAGAGAAAGCCTTTGAGCTCCACACTGTTTCAGACATAATCCTTGATAATCCATGATATGGCGTTTCATCTCCGCAGTATTTAGTTTAGACAGTAGCTGCCGGGTCCCGCATGAGCTCAGCCCCATCCTTTTTTTTTTATCAATTTTTTTTTGTAAAGCTTTATACATTTTGAAACAGGAAGTGAAATAGAGGGATATGAGGCATGGCTAGAATGGGTCATCTGTTTGGTATTCTGAGCAAAACACTTCATAGACATGTTTTTTATATATTTTTGATATATCTGAGACCTATGCTATTGCCTAGAAATAGCATGATACGTGCACTTTAATGATTGAAACACTTAATGCACCTGATTTCAACACACATAGGCTTTTATCTGAGATATACCTGACATTCCCATACTCCAATTCCCAATTAATAAGGCATTGTTTTAAGAGAAAGTCACAGAGAAGCATATATAATTAACAACAAATTAAATAAAATGCCTAAACCAATGTGAAATAAACCCCACAGATTGGATTCTGCATCTTTAAATGTATTTATATTTCTATCAGACAACATTGCATAGAGTAATGGGGAGAGTGCTAGGGATGCTGATATAAAATAAAATACCTTCTTTTCATGTACAACAACGTATGCATTTATTCACTTTTTCCAGACTTTTCATGGTACATTTGTTCATTTTCTTTTAGATATATATTAAAAAATCCATCTTTCCCCTTAATTTAACAGATATGGTTAACATTCATGTCTTATGGACTCCCCCCTTTGCATAATGATTTTAGCTTTCTTAGAGCTTGCTTCATGAGATGCTCATAAAGCCATGAGCCTGAGAGTGGTGTACATTTGATTTACTTAGCAGGAGTATAATGGACCTGCACTGATCTCTTCAGCTGCACCGACTTCTATTACTAGATGAGTCCTGAGTGGCCTTTGAGCTTAAAACAGTAGAGTTAATTAACATTTGATCCCACTTCTTCTTACATCTTAAGAAGTTCATTTTCAATTTCATTTCAGCCCATTCGCCCATTTTCTTGTTCGAAGATTGCTTCACGATCACACGAAGCCTCATCTCTGAACCGATGGTGGCTTATCATAGCTTGTTGGGCAAACGCAAGCATGTGAAGGCTTGTGACAGGAGACAGATGTTTGCCTTACCTCTTAGCAGACGCGTGTCAGCAAGCAAGGGCTGCCTTTGTGCT